GACCTGCATCATGAAAATATTGAATCTGTGTGGGTTGAAATTCTTTTTGACAATGCTAAATCTGTAATAGTCGGGACAATCTATAGACCACCGGAACAGAGTGACTTTTATGATACATTAGATGGGTGTTTGGCTGATGTGGGGGATGTAGAGACAATTATTATTGGAGACTGGAACACGGATATGCAACGTAAAGACACGTCCGTCTTCAAGTCCTTCAGTAGGATTTGTGATCTGCACGGCTTCAGCCAGCTAATCACCCAACCCACCCGGGTATGTGAAACAACACAAACTACCATTGATCTCATTCTGACCTCTGACAGGTCCAGGATCTCCAGTAAAGGGGTTATAGCATGCGGGTTAAGTGATCATTATATGATATTCTGTACCCGCAAAAAGCTAAAACAAAGGGCCGGCTGTCACAAAACAGTCATATCTAGAGACCTCAAAAACTACTCTAGCGAGGCCTTTAACCTAGAACTGGAGAGCCTGGACTGGTCAGATGAGCTCAGTGGTACACAAGTTGAAGAAACATGGCTTGGTTTCAAAAACAAATTCTCTGTAATACTCAATGATTTGGCCCCCCTAAGAACAACCAGGGTAAAAAATCGCGCTGAGCCGTGGATGCACTCCGGCATACTGACCGCCATGAAAACCAGAGACAAAAAATGCTCTGAGTTTCATAAAAGTCAGTCAATGCTTTCCAAAAGCACGAGCAGTGAACTCCAGGCCCACGTGACTGAACTCAAAATTGAAAGAAACAGACTAAGAAATTACGTTAGCTCCATGATCAAAACTGCCAAAAAGAATTTCATCAATGTCAAAACTGAGGAAAACAAAAATAAACCCCGTGAACTTTGGAAATTACTCAATAACCAGCTTGGCTGCAGTAAAAAACTCAAAACGAGATTTTCTAACTTAAACATAAAGACAGATAACAGGCTCATCACAGACAAACTGGATGTGGCCAAGTACTTGAACATTTTTTTCACAAACATAGCCACAACTCTTGTAAATAAATTACCCTCCCACTCAGGGCTTTTTGGAGTAGATCACATCATGACCTACTACAAAAACCTAGGGGTACGCAAAGATGATTTCAGTCTAGCAAGGGTAACAACAGCAGAGGTACTCATTAAACTGAGCGCCCTCCAACCTAACAAGGCCACTGGCCATGACAATATCCCCTCCAAATTCCTCAGAGACACAGCAACCGCCATCTCACCAGTCATAGCTCACATAATTAACCTCTCCATAAAACAGGGGAAAGTACCCAAAGACTTCAAAATTGCAAGAGTAACCCCCCTGCACAAAAAGGGCAGCAAATTGGACCCAGGCAACTACCGCCCTGTTTCTATACTTACCTCCATCTCGAAAGTCATGGAAAAAATAGTATATGAACAGGTCGAAAAGTACCTCGCGGAAAATAAACTAATCTATGAATTTCAATCTGGCTTTAGAACATCCCACTCCACTGACACATGCCTTCTTTATTTGAGCGACCACATCAAACAAGAGGTGGACGAGGGCAAGTACTGCGGCATGGTGATGCTGGACCTACAAAAGGCTTTCGACACTGTCAATCACCCCATTCTGATTGACAAGCTAAAAGCAATTGGTTTTGATAAACTATCGGTGAGCTGGATGCAATCCTACCTGGAGGGGAGAGAACAGATGGTGGAGGTAAACGGTACTCTGTCCCCCCCCCTCCCAGTGAGCTGTGGTGTTCCACAAGGAAGCATATTAGGTCCGTTACTGTTCCTAATTTATGTAAATGACATGTCATCAGCATGTGACTGCAACTTGTTCCTGTTCGCGGACGACTCAGCCCTGCTGGTCTCTGGCAGGAACAGGTTGCAGGTTGAAAAAACCCTCAGCTCCGAGCTCGGCAGAATCTGCACCTGGCTCGCCGATAATAAATTATCATTACACCTGGGTAAAACAGAGTCCATTCTCTTCGGTTCGAAACATAATCTCAGCAAATCCGACGACTTCTCAGTTGCAGTGGGCGACATTATTGTCACAAGTAAGAAGGAAATTACATACCTAGGATCTATTCTTGAGGCAAACCTCTCCTGTGACAAAATGGCATCCAATGTAATAAAAAAAGTCAATCAAAGAACTAGATTCCTCTACCGGATCTCCTCTCTGGTAAACAAAAACACCCTGAAAACTCTGGCAGGAGCACTCATTCAAGGGTACTATGACTATGCTTGCACATCATGGTACCATAGCACCTCCAAGGCGCTAAAAATAAAACTTCAAACATCGCAAAATAAACTGGTCAGACTACTGCTTGACCTTTCATCTAGAACCCACCTCACCTCTGCCCACTTTGACAACCTAGGATGGCTTAGAGTAGACGACAGAGTACAGCTACTTGCAATGGGCCTGGTCTACAAGATCCACTACACCTCTATGGTACCCATGTACATGTCAAAATTCTTCCCAAAGGTCAAGGAATACCATGATCATAACACCAGAGGGAGCTCCACAAATCATGTGAAACCCAGATTTGGCACAAAAAAGGGGGAATACACGTTTCGCAATTATGCCACATCAAGGTGGAACGCTCTTCCCACAACTGTAAAGGAAAGTAAAACTATACTTACCTTCAAAACCTCTCTTAAAGAGCACCTTCGGGGGAGAGCATTGCAAAACTGGCCCCGGTAATGGTACAAATCTCAACCTGTCGTTCAATGGACAGCTTCCCCCCCCCCCCCATCTATGTATATACTCGCATTTTAGACTCTGTTACTAACTGTATATCTGTAGACTTGGTATGTCTTAAATGTCCGGTTAGGATGTATTAGAACGAAATCTAAAATGAAAATTGTAAATAAGCAATCTGTATGTAAAAAACCACCTGTATGTAAATTGTAAATAAGCCATCTGTATGTCTTATATGTCTTAAATGACATGATGAATTGGAAATGGGGGACCCTGATGTAAACAAGACGAAAGTCTTTCTCTGGTCTGCATCCCCTTAACAATTGTATGTTTTGAGCTGTACTGTACTGTACCCAATATACAAGCTGTTAATAAACTTTTCAATCAATCAATCAAAACTCAAATATTACTTGGCAACATGGTAGCTTATGGAAGCAAATAAGTGCCATAATGTTTTGCATTTTAAAAGGCATTGAACGCGTTATATCGTAATTTAAACAACACCGAATTCATAGCATTGCAATATTTTGTTTCGAAAACCATGCATCTGAATTCATTGGTTGTGAAATTACCACTTTAAAATTACAAAATGATTTTTTTCAATGTAAGAAAATGTGGATCCAAAAATTCAAGCTTTATAAATTCATATATTCAGGTTGCTCAAATTCGATCACTGACATTCGGATCCAAAATATTCGGTGTAAAAAAATTTGAACAATGAAATTCAGATCCAAAGATTCAAGTAAAAAAAATGCAGATAGCAATATCCGGGACACCGAGGATAGGATAAGCAACCGAGGAGGAATGCAATTGAACCAACTGCAGACAAAAACATGGCGGAACATACGGTCAAGCCTCCGGATCCAACACTCCTCCGGTGGCCTATGTTGCTCATTCGTTAGCATTAGCGAAATGTAGTTAGTATTATCGTTAGCATCATTTGCAAAAAGCTAAGTATCATTGGTGTAATATCGCTGTTTAAATGAGCTAAAAGCTATGGAGTATTTATGTTTGTAATGTTAACAAAACACCATATTAGGCCTATTAACCTATAATTATCATTTAACCTGTTAAACCCCGAGCCTGTTTTTCAGGTTTCAGGCTCGAAAATGACATTCCCAGAACAAATGACCATATCTTCTACAAGGGTTACATTAATAATCCTTTTTCTCAAAGTAATGATAAACCTGTGAGTTGGATGTAGAAAAGTCAGATTCAATATTTTTTATATTAAAGAAAATTCAGATTGAACATGGTAAAAAACTGTAAATGATACTGTCCGTCCAAAAAATATGTTGTACTTATAGTGAAAACTAACCTTGGATGATGGGTTAGTAGACTAAAAGCTTTAGGAATCCAAAGTACAACATATAATAAGTACCCTGCATCAAGATTGATGCAAAACAAGTGATATTTGACCTTTATAGACAGATTTAGCAAAAAAACCCTCTTCTGGGGCCATTTGGGTGGATTTTCCATATCCCTGGCCCCCCTTGCTGGATTTTGACATGTGACATCTCTTCCTGACCGTCATAGCCAATGGAATCGAGGGGAACTCCCAAATAGTCCTTATTTGGTAATGTGTGTGTGTGAGACTACCGCATAGCATAGACCGGAAGCAGCAGCCACTCTGGTGGCTACCATTAGCAGCTAACATTTGCTCTCCGATTTTTACATAAAAATGGAATTATGGATTATAAATTAAATCATTTTTTTATACATAGACGTTAAAAACCTATAGATTAACCAATTCAGCCGCGTTTTTTCTGGTTTTAATGCCATTGAACACGTCTTTTGATCAGATTGACAGCTATGGTGAGATACACAGTGTCGTGAAAAAAGAAAACAGGGTCCCCGCCGACGGGGACCTTGGGGTTTAACAGGTTAACAGTGATATGCATGAGTCATGGCACTCACGTTTATTGCTTATGCATTGTTCATTCCTGTTAGTCAGAAAATAGCCTTATGTGTTTTTCTTTCCTGTTACTGTTTCTTCTTCACCAAGACAACATTTCTATCCAAGACTAACTATCCAAACCATTCAGCTTAGAGCAAAGAACAGCTTCTGTTTATTTCCAAAAGCCTAATGGCAATATCATCACATTGCTTTTGTTTTGCATCTTTCATGTTGTGTTGCATTATACCATACATATTATTGAGGCTTTATTGGTGTAGGAACCTTTAATGTATATGTATTCAACTCTTACTGTATATGTATTCAACCCTTACTGTATATGTATTCAACTCTTACTGTATATGTATTCAACCCTTACTGTATATGTATTCAACCCTTACTGTATATGTATTCAACCCTTACTGTATATGTATTCAACCCTTACTGTATATGTATTCAACCCTTACTGTATATGTATTCAACCCTTCCTTTATATGTATTCAACCCTTACTGTATATGTATTCAACTCTTACTGTATATGTATTCAACCCTTAATGTATATGTATTCAACCCTTAATGTATACGTATTCAACCCTTACTGTATATGTATTCAACTCTTAATGTATATGTATTCAACCCTTAATGTATATGTATTCAACCCTTAATGTATATGTATTCAACCCTTACTGTATATGTATTCAACCCTTAATGTATATGTATTTCTTTTGAAACAGAGCCCATCATCAAAAGCCTACATCAGCCCCCCATATCATCTTACCAATAGTGGATAGGCAGTAGCAATGAGTAACCAGACTATCATGTCTAAAGGGACCTGTAACAGCCCAATGTAAAGCAATTCAATAAGTAATGCATTATTTATTGTACATTAAGTAGTTGACATCCTCATCCTTGATTTAGTCATGATTCATACCTTTCCTTTCTATGATTGACCAAAGGAAAACACATTTAATGGACCACCTTTTTGTTGTGTTGCCTTCTGAGAAGGTACCTTTTCACAATGTAATTAAACAATGTAGATCAATTCTGCATTTCAGATGTATAGCTGTCCCTGGAACTTACTCCCCGGCTCAGAACCAAACACGCCGAAGCTGCTTTTAGTTTTTATGCTCCCCACAAATGGAATAAACTTCCAGAGAACCTGAGGTCTTCACCAACGCTGAGTTCTTTTAAGTCGAGGCTAAAAACACTACTTTTTACAGCTTACCCAGAAGCCTTTTAACTTGTTTTAGCACTTACCATATTTACAATGTCCTTTTTAAACTATTTTATATCTCATTAATGCATTGTTTTTATGAAACTGTTATTGCATTATGTTTATTTATTGTGTTCCTCTCTGTTCTATTATCATGTTTTAATAATCATGGAAAGCACTTTGAATTGCCTCTGCGTCTGAAATGTGCAAATAAACGTACCTCACCTTACTTTTGGATTAGTGTAGACCTCCAACATCCACAGACCTGTACTAAAGACCTGTAGAGTTCTACACTGGTGAACTGTGGTGTGGACAGTAAAGCACTATCACACCTTAATGTTCACTGACCCTCATCCATTCTTCCTAAAACAATCTTTATACATATTACATTAACAAATCAACAGAGGTATCATTCAGGCCTTCAAACAAACACTAGCTGTAACATACATGTGAGGGGCGTCACAAATAAAAAGAAGGTCCAACTAAAGAAACGTAATCTGGGTGCTGGCTGTCAGGGCACTGTCCCAGGAAATGTTCGAGTAATATCTCGGTTTCTGTCCGCTAACACAAAATGGCACCCTGCGTTCAAGCCCAATACTGCCTGGCAACCCTTCCAGTCCATCATGCCTGTTAAAAAAGGCCAGAGAAAAAAACATTCATGAGATGGTACAATTATATGTAAAGTACTAAAAAGCTATTTGTCTGAAAATGTAGTCTTTGCAGGCCCTGGGATGATCCTCTCAGACACATCTGGTAAACCAAAAGAAACATTGTAGTCTGAACAGAATTATTTCAGTGAATGTGGTGGTGTATGGGAACATGACCGACAGATTATACAAAACCCATGCAATGTAACAATATGGGCAGGTCAAACAGCCAAGCTGGAGTCAAGTGGAGATTCAACGATGTAATGCTCTTTCCCTGTGTGGTGTCAAAACTCAAGTTAACTGTTCAGATGCAAATTAACAAGACAACGCTATGCAACTGAATTCATACCTCATCTCTGCAAGGTCCTTGACCATGTGCAAGTATTCATTTCCAGCCTGTAAATATGAAATGTATATCAGAATACTGTTGCAGAAACCTAAAGCCTGCTTTCATTAACTTATAACACAAACAAGACTTAAGGAAATTATGCAATACATATTCTACTTTACACATCTGCAAAACACATTGGTTGATTTGAATATGGCATACTTTTACTACACTTAGTTTGCTTTCAAATGTACCCTCTACGCATGTTTCACTTTCATCACTGCAATCGCATGCACACACTCTTTTTTAAATTGAGCACACCTGTGGGGCTTCCTTGGGCTAGTATGAAGTAGAAGTGTGCTATTCTTAAAACTGTCATTGTTTTGTATGTACCAGTTGTTCCTGACTCACAGGACCACTCAGTGTCAACCTCTCCTCGCACTGCTCTCCACAACCTTAAAACAGAACTGTCCAGTTCCATATACCACTGCAATCAAAAACATGTAACCATATCAAGATGTAGTATATTTTTGAAAAAGGCACATAGTCGTCTTGCAAAGGTAAATATAAATAACTTTGCTTTACAACTCGTTTTCTACCAACCTGTTTTCTCCTGTCTTGGACCGTTACCTGTGCTGCTGCTGCACACACCACCACCTCTGTAAGAATCACAGATTAAGCTGCAGGGAACAATGTGATACACTGTTTGCCTTCATTACAGGCAGCTGCGACTGTTCTCATGTGCTTACAGGCTAGGGAAAGGTTACTGTCTAAACGCAATAACCTTTTTGATACTGCAGTGGAGGAGCTGGACGTGCATTCACAGAATAAAACAAGTCTTAATGTGGTGGTAAACCTAAATACATACAGCTCCAGTAAAAAGTTTGGGACACACTTTCCCATTCACTTAGCATCCTAATGTTTCTGGCTACATCAGTGTGGTGAACTCATAAACCAAAACATTAGCATGCTACGCTAGCATTCTGACTACCATGCTAAAATGTGACTCCAGATGGATAATAATTCAAGTAAGGCAAACTATTCAATACAAATAAACTAATCGATGACATAAAAACATTATTGTTACTTGTACCTGTGCCATGGTGGAAACTGTGAACAGTGTAGGCTATATAACAATAGCGCTTAGTATTTCTACCAACCGGTATGCCCGGGTTGCGCCACCATGTTTATGTCTGCAGTTGGACGTTGGATCAATTGCATTCCTCCTCGATTGCTTATCCTATCCTCGGTGCTATCTGAATTTGTTTTACTTGAATCTTTGGATCTGAATTTCACTGTTGGAATTTTTTATACCGAATATTTTGGATCCGAATGTCAGTGATCGAATTTGAGCAACCTGAATATATGAATTTATAAAGCTTGAATTTTTGGATCCACATTTTAATTACATTGAAAAAAAACATTTTGTAATTTCAAAGTGGTAATTTCACAACCAATGAATTCAGATGCATGGTTTTCGAAACAAAATATTACAATGCAATGAATTCGGTGTTGTTTAAATTACGATATAACGCGTTCAATGCCTTTTAAAATTCAAAACATGATGGCACTTATTTGCTTCCATAGCAGCTACTGTTCCAATCATATCGCTGTAAAAACGATTGTCATTCACAAGTTCATACAAATAGGGAGATGAAATTATGAAATCATATTTTTTTTGTATTGTTATACTAGCTGGAGTAAGTAAATCATTATCAGACATTAGACATAAGCCAATTAAATTGTCCTTAAGCCGTAAACTCTTGACCAAGTTAGGCTAACGTTTGCCAAAACTATTTCATAATTGCATTTACTGATTAGAATGAGCAAAGGAATGACAATCTTAAACATCTCTAGGTTATTACCTCTGAGATTACAGCCTTGAGAAAGTAGGCCCTAAGCCAACACATTTTTTCTTTTTTGTGCTTTTCGAACACCAATACAACAATGATGAGACATTGGGGATAGAGGTGGTGTCTGTCTCTCACCCATCAACTGACCTACTACAGTTCCCTAGTGCCACCACCAGGGGGCGGTAATTACATACTTAACACAATGGCAGGGCAGGGTAAAGTTCCAGACAAAATATAAGAAAAATAAATCTTCTAATGCGAAAATAAAGGTTCATACTTCACAAAAAGGACAAAAAAGCACAGCTCCGTTTGTAATGATTTTATTTGTTTATTTTAAAGAACAAGTTCACCTGCAAGTAGAATACTCTGGTTAGATAGATTATTATTATCTGGTTAGGTAACTGTTACGTTCCCTTCTAAATCTAGGGGGGTACAAAGGGAAGTAACCACACACAAGGATGACCAAGCACGACAAAAAAAGGAGAGAAAACCGATCTCTTAGTAACGCACCAGTCGTTTAATGACCAAAAAAGAAACACGGGCTCACCAGCCAATTTGCACAGAATTATACAGCATCGATTATAGCACGGAGCTCCCCTCCTATCAAATGGCAACACACAGGTCTGCACACATGCAGCCAGAGGAGGAAAAACGGAGAGCCCACTGCAGTCTTCCTCCGGGCCTATATGGAGGCCCTGATTAGGAATTCGGAGCACCTGGGGAGAGGCTGCACCTGGGGACAATCAGGCTGCACCTGGGGAATCAGAGGGAGAGAGAGAGAAACACACATACACGACCACACAAACACTACGGCACGTAACACTTCCCCCCCATAAAACCAAACCAGTGTTTGGTCACAGTTACCAACAACACTCATTACATATTTCACAAGCATGCTTGGAAGCTGCCACCTGCTGCTTCCAAGCCACACACTCCGCCACTAAATGACCAGGGTCAAGACAATAAAAACACAATCGCTTAGTGTCGGGACCTGGGAGAGAAACAGAAAGAGCACGTGTGACACGTCTGTTACGAGCCCTACAGTGAGGATATTTGCCCTGAGGATACACCTTACCCCCGGCTATATCATTACCCATTATGACATCCACACCGTCGACAGGAAATTTGGGGAGCACAGCAACTGGAAAGTAACCAGTAGCCAGTTCAGACTGGACATGGACATTGTGAAGAGGTGCGGGCACAAAACCCATTTCAATACCTCTTACCACCATATTCGCATCACAGGCAGACTCATTACTCAAGGGCAGGGCACTCGCAAGAATGAACGACTGTGAGCCACCACTGTCTCGTAACATAGTAACCTGCCGCTGATCCTCCACCTTCCCTGACAGAGAGACAAAAGCAGTGGAGATGAACGGTTTAAAACACTCATCAGGGCCCATTTTAACAGTGGCCTGCCTACTAGGACACACTGTTTTAATCAAGCCCACCCCTTTTGGGTGCTTGTCACCTGCTGCCCGGTCTCGCTTCCAAGCTGCACAGTCTGCTATCACATGACCTGGGTCAAGACAAAAATAACAAGCTCTGTCTATCCTGGGACCTAACAATGGAACACTGGCACAGGGAACATAATTGTCAGGAGCTCTATTATAAGTGTCCCGCTGAGGAGGATCACGCTGAAAGAAAACGCTCTTGTGTATCAGCGCAAACTCGTCTGCCAGAGTGGCAGCCTGCTGAAGGGTAGTCACTTTCTGCTCATTCAGATAGACTACCGTACGCTCCGGTACACAGTTTTTAAACTCCTCCAACATCAGCTCACACACTGAAGCAATGTCATCCGCTTTACACGCTCTACACCACCTGTCAAAGAGGGCTTTCTTCTCCCTCGCGAAGTCCACGTACGTTTGGCCAGAAGCTTTCTTCATGCCACGAAAACGCTGCCTGTAGGCCTCAGGCACTAGCTCATATGCCCTGAGAATAGCACCTTTAACCTTCTCATACACCAAACTATCCTCGACTGAAAGAGAAGAGCAAGCCTCTTGAGCCTTGCCGACTAGCTTGCACTGTAAAATAATAGCCCACACATTTTCTGGCCAGTGCAGAGCAGCAGCAATGCGCTCAAATGCACCAAAATAGACTTCCACCTCTGATTCCCGAAACACAGGGACCAAAGAAATATGCCTGCTCACGTCAAAGGAAGCAGCAGGACCAGAAGGTGTAACTGCAGGATCACCCACCACAGCTGCTTGGAGCTCTAGCTGACGCATCCGGACAGCTTTGTCTGCCTCCAGCTGCTGCTTCCTGATCTCCAGCTCCAGCTCCTGCTTCCTGATCTCCAGCTCCTGCTTCCTGATCTCCAGCTCCTGCTCCTGCTTCCTGATCTCCAGCTCCTGCTCCTGCTTCCTGATCTCCAGCTCCCTCCTGAGCTGAAAATCCCTATCTCGCTCCTCCCTCTCACACTGGAGACGAGCCATACGCACTTTTACCCTAGCATCTAATTTAGACCCCGTAGGTGAGGATCCTGCCGAGAACGAGCCAAACTGAGGTGTGGTGAAAAGTTTTGCCTGTTCCGTATCACTCTGAACACCAGGAGTAACACCAATGCGGCCTCCACCCTGAGATACTGCTGCTACAGCCCCGGCCACCGCGCCAGGAGATTCCACTGAAGTAGGCCGACTCAAAACCCCCTGTTCCACTAGTCCAGTTATCAAAGTAGCCTTTAGTTCACTTTTAACAAGAGCAGAGGAGACAGAAACGTGATAATGGTCAGCAACTAACCGCAAATCAACCTTCCTACAGCAGTCTAGCTGACCCACAGTAGGACTGGCCACAAACTGCTCCAAAACAAAAGCCATCCTTAGCAACGGCTACTTATAAATATATTTATGATTACAATTTTTTTTTTTTTTTTTTTTTTTTAAAAAACTTCCCCAGATCCTGCCTACCAAACTTACCTAACTATCTTCTGGGGCGTGCCGGGCTCGAGGCGACTTTAAAGGCAAACATCAGCGGCCGAAACCCTGAATTGCCTGCCCCCAACAGGGAATAAATCCCCACCCAGGATTACCCCGAAAATAAAAAAGGCAAAATAAAAAATGAGTGCCTGAAGGAAGGACTGATTCAGCCCAACTAGACACTCCCCTGTCTAAACTGAGGAAGTCAATGCTACCAAACACAATATCAACACTAAACCACAAACAACTACTCACTATTTTTCTGAAAGATTGGACGAGCCCCCATGTTACGTTCCCTTCTAAATCTAGGGGGGTACAAAGGGAAGTAACCACACACAAGGATGACCAAGCACGACAAAAAAAGGAGAGAAAACCGATCTCTTAGTAACGCACCAGTCGTTTAATGACCAAAAAAGAAACACGGGCTCACCAGCCAATTTGCACAGAATTATACAGCATCAATTATAGCACGGAGCTCCCCTCCTATCAAATGGCAACACACAGGTCTGCACACATGCAGCCAGAGGAGGAAAAACGGAGAGCCCACTGCAGTCTTCCTCCGGGCCTATATGGAGGCCCTGATTAGGAATTCGGAGCACCTGGGGAGAGGCTGCACCTGGGGACAATCAGGCTGCACCTGGGGAATCAGAGGGAGAGAGAGAGAAACACACATACACGACCACACAAACACTACGGCACGTAACAGTAACCCTAACCCTTTATATAAGTATCATTTGCAATCCAGACAAATCTGATACGTTTCATGGGGTAGAGCACTTTGCAAGCCACTGTATAGCCACCTGAGATGTGTGTATGTGTGAGTGTGTCTGCTGACAGAGAACTTCAAGTTCATGTGAAGGTGTGAAGGGGAGAGAGGGAATTGAAAGTGAACACCCCCTCTCCCCTTTCACTTAACATAGAAAGGAGAAAACGTCAAAAAAAGGGTTTGGACTGAACTATAGGTTAGGTTTCTGTATCCAGATACAGTATATAGAGTTTCTCTCCACAAAAAAAAACAAGTTGTACCTTTTGAATGCCTCAATTTGACCATCACTGGACCGGGTTTCTCCAATATAGGCCTAATAGACTATATAGTATACACCTTTCACACAGGCACCCCGGGTTTTCCCGTTGGACCCATTCAGACCGCACTCTGGTCCCAGGAAAGAACCGCGTTGCTGCCGTTCACACACACGACCCAAGTCTGCGAGTTACTTTCTTGTATGTCACTGCTGAACAAAGTTGTCGCATTGCTACGTCATTAAAATGAGACGTTCGGCCATTGTTATTGTTTTAGGTTGATGGAGTGGAGCTCGCGGCACACACATCGAACTGTAAAATGCAACTGACTGGTTAATGAAAGGATTCTGCCAGGGTTGTTAACTTACAGTAGAACACAGTCCCTTTTCTAACACACT